TACAAGAATGCTTATGGAAGCTTTATTTGTAATAGCCTACTGTGGAAATAACCCAATATTCATCAACTGAAGAATGAATAAATAGATTTGGAATCTATAATAATAAAAGCATACTATGCTAATTAGACCAGACGTCCTTCCAGAAGACCTTCCGGACGAAGCTGGGGCTGCGAGGGAAGCCTGGGTCCTGGGTGCCGGAGGGAAGCCTCGGGCCTCTAGTATCCATATAATGCAATGTTATTTGTCCATAAAAAGAAATGAAGTAGTAAAACCATAGCTACAAGAAAAGAAAACTACAGACCAATATTTCATATGGACATTGCCACAAAACTCCTCAACAAAATATTAACAAACCAAATTTAGCAGTATATTGAGAGAATTACACAACATGACCAAGTGATGTTTCTTCCTGAAATGCAAGGTTTGTTCAATATTTAAACATCAATCAGTGTAATGCATCAGGTTAACAGAATAAACCACCCCCCACACACATATAGTAATGTCTATTATAATGGCTATTACTTTAAAAAATAGAAAGTAAAAATGTTGGCTAGGTTGTAGAGAAATTGAAACACTTGTGCATTGCTTATGGGAATGTAAACTGGTGGAGCCACTGTGGAAAACAGTTGGCAGTTTCTCAAAAGGTTAAACAGAATTACCATATGACACTCCTCTATCAGTAACTGACAGGTCTGGCAGGCAGAAAATCAGTAAGGATATAGTTGAACTCAACAGCACCATCAATCAACTGGATCTAATTGACATCTACATAACATTTCATCCAACAAAAGCAAAGTGCACATTTTTTCCAAGCTCACACACCTGAGCCATAAAACACAACTTAACAAATTTTAAAAATAATAGCCATTATAATAGGTGCAAATTGGCATCTCATTGTCATTTTGATTTGATTTCCCTAATGGTTAGTGATGTTTTACATCTGGGATTTCCTTTTGAGGTGATGAAAATGTTCTAAAATTGTGGTAATAGTTACAAGTATCTGTAAATACATTAAAAACCACTGAATTTCCTTGGCCTGGTGACCCAGTTGGTTGGAATTTTATCCCCTGCACCAAAAGGTTGCAGGTTCCATTCCTGATGAGAACACATACCTAGGTTGCACGTTTGATCCTCAGTAGGGGCATATATGAAAGACAACTGATTGATGTTTCCCTCTCACATTGATGTTTCTTTCTTTTTCTTCCTTCCTCTCTCTCTGAAAATCAGTAAACATATGTCCTTAGATGAAGACTTAAAAGAACAAAAAATAAAAACATTGAACTGTCTGTTTTAAGTGGTATGAGAATTATATCTCAATGAAGCTGTTAAACAATGGAAAAAAGGGACAAGGAAAAAAAAGAAAGCTTAGTATTTCTCTGTGCATGATGACATAAACATGCAATGATATGGATGTACTGCTACATCTAACTCTGAAGAGAAAAACTGCTGCCATGCACGACTGAAACATCTCAGCGGGTAGGAATGGGACTACATATTGGCCAACTCTTGAGAAGCCTGGGAGTGATTCTTTTGCTGGGAAAAATATTCATAGGTTTGTGGAGAACAAATGAAAGAGAGATGGAAAATGCTAGCTAAAAAAATGAGTTTCTTTCTTAATGAAGCAGGAGAAATTTTGGTGAGCTGAAACCATAAACTCTTAGAAGAAAAAATAGGGGTATATCTTTGTTACCTTGAATTTGGCAATGGATTCTCAGATATCAACAGCAAACACACCCATAAAATTGGTAAGCTGGACTTCATCACATTTAAAAAGTTTTGTGCTTTAAAGGACATCATCAAGAATTTGAAAAGGAAACATACAGAATGGGAAGAAATATTTGCAAATTACATAGCTGATAAGGAGCTAAGATCTAGAATATATTAAAGAACATTTACAACAAAAGGACAAAATGACAACCTGGTTAAATCTGCATCTTCCTGTGAGTTCTAGATAATCAGCCCTTCTTCTATGCAAAAGGGAGCAGAGTTTGGAGAAGTTGGGTCACACAGGAGAGGAGACTCTGCTGTTCCCAAGCCTCAGACTCCTCAGCCTCTTACTCAGGTAGGGGCTGGGGAAAGCATTGAAATGCTGGCCATAATGAAGGTACAGGGTTTCCTCACCAGGGTGTGAAGTCCAGGAAGGAAGTGTTTGCTAAACTCTTAGGTAAGTTACTTTCCTTCATGGGGCCTTAGAAGCGAGGAGAAATAGGTGCAGGACTTCTACAGCCCTTTCCTGCTAAACACTACTGGCTCTCAGAGAATTTGCCTCTATTACCAAGCCAGTTTTTTGGGGGGTTGTGTAGGCAGCCGGCCCCCGAGGACAGAGATTTTGAGGTTTTGAGCAGTTCCAGGGTGGTTGGGTTGATATCATGCTGCCCTCCCCTCTCCCGTGGAAGAGGAAACCTTCTTCTAGGAAACCCCAAACCCCACCTATTACTGTACCCCAAGTGGAGGCAGGGCTTGCTAGGGATGCTGTGGCACCTGGAGCCTCCCAGAACCTGGGCTACCCAGGTATCTCTGCTTAGAACCCACTGGCCCTGAAGGACTCAGATCTGTGAAGAGATGAGGTGGGCTGTGTCTACTCCCTTCCCGCAGTCCCAGAACCCAGGGATGTGGCCTCCATTGACCAAGCCCAGAGGGGGAGTGTGGTAGGGAAGGGGTAACATAGAAGCACCCAAATGTTAGCTATTATTGCTATTATGTTATGACTATTGTATGAATAATTAAATCATGCCTTAAAATAGAAAAGGAAAGCTTAATATTTTTCTGTGCATGATGGCACAAAAGCACAATGAAATGAATGCTTATCACTTGCTCTGAAAAGAAAACCTGCTGTTGTGAACAACTGGAGTCTCCAAGGGAAAGAAGATCTGTGACAAGAGTCAACCTAGATGGTCTACATTCCTGCTTATCAAGGCTGGTCCACAGGACACAGCAGCAGCAGCGCCTGGGAGAGTGTGAGAAATGCAGAATCTCAGGTCCCCACTCAGATCTACTGAGTCAGGATTGTCTTTTAACAAGATCCCCCTTGCACATTCAAGAGAACACCAGAGAACGCACAGCTAAATTAGCGCATGCCACAGGAAGTCTATGAGGGGTGGAATGGAGGACCATTCTAGGATCCCCTAAGAAGGAATAAAGATTACATGACCCTGACAAAGGTTTCAGTCCCAAGGGTGGGAATGTTCTTGAGGATTCACATGGCCGGAAATCAGTGATTTGGTGGGAGGATTTTGCCAGGATCCTGTTCTAACATAACCTCGCTTCGTGTTATTTGAACATATTTGGTTAACTCAGTGTTTAGTCTTATTGACTTTCACTTCATACAGTTCCAATGTTTTTGGAAAGTTAGTTTAAAAACTAACACGATAACTTGAATTCTAAGATGATTCTCAGTGATCCCCATGGACATTCAAGTTCAAGAAGCAGTGGGGCCGAACCGGTTTGGCTCAGTGGATAGAGCGTCAGCCTGCGGACTCAAGGGTCCCAGGTTCGATTCCGGTCAAGGGCATGTACCTTGGTTGCGGGCACATCCCCAGTGGGGGGCGTGCCGGAGGCAGCTGATCGATCTCTCTCATCGATGTTTCTAACTCTCTATCCCTCTCCCTTCTTCTCTGTAAAAAATCAATAAAACATATTAAAAAAAAAAAAGAAGCAGTGGGGGACATGCCACTCAGGTAGACAGAAATGGATGATCTACAGAAATTCTTGGAGAAAAATAATAACAAAGATACTATAATTATCTATTGTTTGATAGGAAGACATTGAGCTCCACAACAGGTAGGAATATTATTTTTCAGTCAAATAAGAATATAAAACTGGGAATAGTACTTTAATTGAGTAAGTTTATGCCAACATGGCTAATTAAAAAATGTTCTGTGATACCACATTGGCATCGCAAAGAAAAAAAACAACAAAAACAATGTTTTTCCCCCAAATCTTTTATTTTTATAGCCATAGGGAAGGGAAGTTGGGCTTTGCACCCTGAAAGTGAAGTTCTGTGTCTCAATTTTGTTTACTGCCCTACCTTGTGCTTCTGTTTCCTAATTTAAATGGAATTCTAATGTTTCCTCTTACCATCATGACTATGGAAAGTATCAATGTAATAATGTTTGTGAACATGCTTTGGAAATTAAATGCTGTGAATTATTTTTTTATGTTTTTATTGATTTTTTTAGAGAGAAAGGAAGGGAGAGAGATAGAGAGAAACATCAATGTGAGAGAGAACCATGGATCAGTTGCCTCCTGCACGAACCCTGGGGGATCAAACTCAAAACTTGGGTATGTGCCTGACCAGGAATCAAACTGGCGACCTTTTGGTGCACGGGACCTACACCCAACCAACTGAGCCACACTGGCCAGGGCATGTTGTGTGTTATTTTAAAAGCCACCGATCATTTTCTTCTCCTCTTTTCTAATGATGACTGCAAATCAATTGGCATGCATGGTCTTCCCTTCTCCAAGAGCTCTCTCCACGCAGACCTGCTTGTCTTGTGTGTTTTTTCATGGAGAAAGTAAGATACTGAAGCCAAAGTGTTATTACAGGGTTAGCAGAAGCAGCGCGCTATTGTTTATTCCCACATCTCAAATCTTCTCATTGAGCTTTTCCATTCTGCCACATGGAATGGAAAATGTTTCCCGAACACTATTGTCTGCAGTTATAATCCTTTACATTTTCCTGGCTTCCAGACCCACCGCGTCTTTGCGCCAATCTGGAACACACACTGGGGACTATTTCATTTGTGGCGCCTTCCTGTTCATGCTTTTGGATGGTTGCCTTTTCACAGCACACGCAGCTCATTTAGGCATTAACATTTCAGGAAACACACAGTGGCATTTTAAGTGAAGTAGAAATTAGAAAACTCTGCTGTTCTTAGTTACTCTTTTCTCCCAAATTCGAAAGGAAATCACTGTCAAATTACCCAAGTCACATTTATCCTTTTGAAACTCCCCGAGTTGTTGTCAGTATTCTGCCAAACTCTCTGTTTCTATCCCCTTAGATAGAAATTATGCCCCTCTGGAGCAACAGCGGGGAGAAAACTGAAGCATGCTTGATTCAGAGAAAACAATTCTCTGAGGCACAAAGAACTCCTTCCCCCAGCACTTGGCTCCTACTTCTGCTTTATGGCTCTTGTAATTGTGTCTGTGTGAATCCATGTTGCACCGACACAAGTTCTTGATTATAGTTATCAATCAATATAAGTTGGTTGGTCAATTTATTGGTAAAGAATCCCTTCAACAAAGAAAGGATGATAAGAGTTTCCAAGGCTATGAAGAGACCCAGCAAGGGGCTGGATAGTATCCGTGGTTTTCTCCACACAATGTGTTGAATGGGAGTCAAACTTACATTTTGCTTTAGATCAGGTGGGCAATAATGTACTATTGCTCATTAAAAATAAAGTGCTATATCACTAAAAACAAAAAAAAAAACACACAAAAAACAAACAAAAATAACACTAACCTATTTGGGAGTGGTTAACAAATAAATAGAGTCTCACATATTCACTACCACATTGGTAAGCACTTCTGACCAGAAGAGGAAATTGGGGTGCTCACTCTCTTGCCTGAAACAGTTCAAATGGAAATACAGTTGATCCTTGAACAACATGGGGTTGAACTGCGGGGGTCCACTTATGAGCAGATTTTTAAAAAAATAAATATGATAAATTTCTTTTCCTTATGATTTTCTTAATAACATTGTCTTTTCCCTAGTTTACTTTATTGTCAGAATAGGGTGCATAATACATATGACATACAAAGATGTGCTAATCGACTTTGTGTTATTAGCAAGGCTTCCAGTGAACAGAAGGCCATTAATTCAGTGGACGCTCCACATTCGCCGATGCCCAACTTCAGACTGAAATTTTGATCCACAGTTGGCTGAATCCATGGATTCCAACCCATTGATACAAAGTACCAACTTTAGTTAAATTTTTGGGAAGTAAAAGTTAGACATGAATTTTTGACTGCACAGGGGACCCAGGGGTTAGAAAACCCTAACCTCCATGTTGTTCTAGGGCCAATTGTATTTTCTGATTAAAATTAGTGATGGAAGGAGACCTGCCTTGGGGTGGTGAATGCACAACACAATATACAGGTGATATATTATAGAATGAGACACCTAAAACTTATATAATTTTATTGACCAGTGCCACTCCAATAAATTCAATACAAATAAAACACAATAAAAATGATCATACAACTAAAATACTACTTAAAATAATAAAATAACAATAATAGAATGTTTAATAACCTGGTGTATTAGGGTTCTTCAGAAAAACAGAACTAAAACATTGTGTGTGTGTGTGTGTGTGCGTGAGAGAGAGAGAGAGAGAGAGAGAGAGAGAGATTTATTTTAAGGATTGTCTCCACATGATTGTGGAGGCTTGGTAGGTCTGGAATTTACAGCATGAATCAGCAGCATGACACTCAGTGAAGAGTTGCAGACTGAGTCCACAGGCCCACTGATGGCAGAATTCCTTCTTACTCAGAGAAGGTCAGTCTTTGTTTTATTAAGTTCTTCACTGACTACTGAGGTCCTTTCACATTATGGAGAGCACTCTGCTTTACTCTAAATCCGACAACTTAAATGTTAATTTCCCTTAAAAAAAACAAAAACAAAAACAAAAACTTCTTCACAGAGACATTCAGAATTCAAAACCTGGACATCATAGTCCAGCCAATTTTACACGAAAAGTGAACCATCACAAGGTTAATCAGAATTTTAAAAAATATTTTTTATTGATATTTAGACAGAGAGGAAGGGAGAGGGAGAGAGAGAGAAAGAAAGAGAAACATCAATTGGCTGCCTCCTGCATACCCCCTACCAGAGATCAAGCCCACAACCCAGGCATGTGCCCTGAACTGGATTGAACCAGCAACCTTTTGGTGCATGAGAGCATGCCCAACCTACTGAGAACACTGGCCAGGGTAAGGTTAATCAGAATTTAACTAATTTTAAGAATTCTTGTTAGTTGAGGTTTTATTTTTTAATCAGCTACATCTCATTGAGATATTACACAGCCTTCTCTTTCCTTATTTCAACTCCACCTTTTTTTTTTGGCTTATGTTACTGCAAACCGCCCCCCCCCCCCCCCCACACACACACACTCTGATCCTGACTGTGATCAAGCTTGGAGGTTAACCTGTATGGAAGAAGAGGGGTGCAGTTTGCACTGAGTTCTTAGAAACTTACTTTCTGTAAAGATGTAATGATGTTACTGTTGTCTAGTCCCCTGGCGCTTTTGTACCTTTTCATTTTGAGTTGCAGCCACAAGGAAGTTAAGATGATGAATGTGAAATGGAAATTTTCTGGTTCAGATACAATTATATGTTTTTCAGTGGCTTATTTTTTTATTTTAGTAAATAAGCATTTAACAGAGTCAGGTAGTAGAACTAATGATTACAATTTTGCCTCAAACAACAGAGGAGACAAATACTGTAATTATATGAAGTACAAATCAAATCACCTAATTAAATAGAGAAGGGATATCTGCAATAATTGCCAAGGTATAGACCAGTTAACAGTGCACAGAAAAAGATCCCATAATTTTAAGAAATACATCCATGCCTGATTTATCAAGAGGTAAATATAATAAACAAGTGCATTTTTACTTAAAAAATACAAGCTTCATCTATAGTAAATAACTTCAAATGACTCCTCAGACTTCTCTACCTCTATTTCTTTTTAAAAATATACATTTTTTATTGATTTCAGAGAGGAAGAGAGAGAGGGAGAGAGAGATACAAACATCAATGATGAGAGAGAATCATCGATTGGCTGCCTCCTGCACGCCCCCTATGGGGACCGAGCCCACAATCCAGAATTGAACCCAGGACCCTTGGGTCTGTAAGCCAACGCTCTATCCACTGACCAAATTAGCTAGGACTCTCTATTTCTTTAGAGAATTGAAAACATATATGTAAATGATCCGTTTTATAGGAAAAGAATATTAATACTTAATTGTACAAATTTAATACTTCTTTGTTCATGTCCCAACTCCAGGAAGCCTCAGTGATGACTGCCAGCCCATGATAGCTACATGATGTGCAAAAGCTCAGCTCTCAGCCATTTGCTTCCTCCGTTTTTTGGCACCATGGTTGCCATATGGCTTGCCCTGTGTGCTCCAGTGATTTCCCAGAAGGGCTTCATCTGCCTGCCCAAGACTCTAAGTCTATCTGAAACAGAAATTGTGCCTTCCATCTCTACTGTCTCTTCCCATTCCTATACCACTTACTGAAAGCATTAATCATTCCGTGTGTGAGTATGTGTGTGTGTGTGTCCATGTAAGTGTCACACTCTGCCCTTTGCCAGGAAACATCAAATGGGTCCCACCATAGTGTTGTGGGAAGCACTTTGGGGCTGTCCTCATGGCATTATGCAATGCACTAACCAGCCTGGACTTTTACATCTAATTATTTCCTCACAAAATCTCGATAAAAACATGACAAGTCTCAAGATCCCTTAGTCAAAGAAAGCTCTGTGCTAATAACTCAGATTACATTCCAAATTTCCTATACCATTTCATCTTCATCTCCTTAAAGTGTGAAAGAGAATTTCCATGGAGAATTCTCACCTTGTCACATTCCCCACAGCAGAGAGTTCAGGGTTTCTATTATCGTCCTCATCCTACCTGCTCTGGCTCAGTGGGTATCCTTACTCCAACTTCAATAAGGAAATGGCCAAATCCAAGCAATTTTCCTTAATTTCATTATATCTCACCTTGGTGTCTTCTTGTGTCTTCACTCTTTATTACTTTGGCTGGATCCCAGTGTCTTCAACTTTTCCCAGACTTTGCTCTTCAATGATCAATCATAAATGTATTCCTCTTCATCTATAAACTTGCTCAGTCACTCCCACCCTAAAATTCATTCTAGTGCACCAGGGAACATGTCCTTCTCTCTTTTCTGTAATGGCTGAAAGCCTTCTATTATGTTTTCTGTACTCTTTCAGCTCCCCCCCTTTTTGGTGTTTGTCTCACCATTTTTCTAAAACTGCTCTTTCAACTGTTTCCAGCAACTTTGAAAATAATCAAACAAACAACCCAGTAAAGTAATTATTTTTCAGTCCCTAGCCTTCTTGAGTTTTCAGCAACTTAGGCTATTTGGAACATTCTTGACCCGAAATGTATTCTTCTCTTAGTTCCCCTAAACTATGAACTTCTGAAACTCTTCCTACTCCCACTAGCATCCCTGTCTCTGTCTCCTTCGCTAGTTCTTCACTGTTTTGTAGCCTAATGGAAAGAGCAATGGTTTGGCAGGACAACTGAGCTCCAATCCTTGTCTTTCTAAACTCATTTTTAACACTGGATATTGCTTACTCTGGGTGGTTCTCAGCCTTTGTAGCTGTAGAACGGGGTAGTCTGCGATACTGCGTTTTAATGGTGCTTTACTAAGTCTTAAGAATCCCTTTCACATTTCATGGCCACCATCATGATTCCAAACACAACAGCTACACTGTATTCTGGTATATGGATTGGATATCCATGGTAGATTTTTACTACTAGGGAAATGCAAGTAGTTTGGACAAGTGAGTCCAGAGACTGTTAGCCTAAATGAGTTGATAGATACCATTTCCAACGATCAAGTTTGATGAGGGAAAACATGCCTTGCAACGGGACAAAAGGGATGCTGGGCACACCATCCACTGGGATGGTATTCAATCTGGCAACCCATATTCTCCACGTGTGATGGTGGTGCAGGGCTGGGAGGTTGGGGTGGTTTCTGTACCAGTAAAAGCACTTTGCTATTGATGACCTAGGATTCACCTCTAAGATCACCTTTGATTCTAAATGTAGAAATTCAGTATTGGTTTTCTGGAGTTGATATGAGAACTGTGTGAGATAATATTTTTAAAGCAGTCAGCACAGTACTTGGCACACAGAAATCAATTGATACATTTATTTGTTTTCAGTACCTTCTCTGTGACATTAAGTGAGGGCATGCCAGTGTGCATTTTACCAGGCCCCACACCCAGTATAGTGGCCTAGTCACATACTAGTTAAATATATTAACAGTCCAATTTGTGTTGACTCATTTTGCAAACCCAAGACATGGAAAAGTGGCTCAATAAGCAGGAAGGAGCTTGGGGAGAGGCATTTACAATTATCTAGCTATGAGGACTTCTCCTATGTTTCAGGGAGGGAAAAGAGAAAAAAGGACCTTGCCCAGTTCCATTAGAGCTCCTGCTTTCTAACTTT